ATAAACAGGCCGGTTTTCCTGCTGTGTATAGGTGTATACTTTCGACAATAAACGTGACTACAGTTCTACAACTTACCAACCCAAACTCAAAGCTTAATAGTTAACCAGATGTGTTTTGCTCATTTCCCTTCCCTTGAAAATAACAAATATGTAGTATAGAAATTACGTGTGTGGTACTTGAACTTTTTTTCTACCATTTGGAATTGGTACGATCTCTGCTTCGAGAAGAATTATTTCTTTATTTAAACTAACTTTCTGATATTTGTCACATGATCATCGGTTGCAACACTTAGCCTACGAGAAAGCAATCATGGTGTTTGTTTGCATCTTGTGATATAAATGTTGTAATAATTAACACTAACTTAAACAATTTTACATATGCGTGTAAAATTTCTGTTTGAAGTTATTTAAGATTTTCCAAGTTAACTTGATCCGTCACCTACTATTTCAAATAACAACAAGGAAGCATAAAGCAGATCATCTAATTACTAATACCACCAGAGAGTAGCGCGAGTATTGTACTGATAAAGCAATTTACGCAATATCCCCAGACTTTATAACCAACCTGTCTATCTATACGGCTGTGAAGGCAGTTTTTGTTGTCTTTCTGCTAGAGTTTTATTGTTTCTGGTTTAGACACAATAATCGTGTTGACAGAAGCCCGGATAGAGATATTGTCTCCAACGTGTATCCGAGTGGACTGTGGTCGTTATTGCCAAGTGTATGGTGACAGTTAAGCACCTCACAGGAGCGATGTAATGTTATTTTGATAAGAGTTTTAGTATCGCAATATTAGACAGAACGTACGGCTAAGTTAATATCCACTAGCAGCAGTCTCCTTAAATCCGCGAGCACCGTCTCCTATACTTGTAGAGCAATAAAACGGTGACGTTTCTGCCATACACGTGCACTAATGAAAGCGTGAATTCAGATTCATACTTGTGTAAGAATAAACATGTGAGTGACTCCATACATGTACAATACTAAAGATAAGATTTGTCTCCCAAACACCTGTACTACTGAACATGTGAATGGAAAGCCACCACATCAATGCACGACCTTAAATTGGACCATAGTTGTTAATAGGACATAAAACACAACCAAACCAAACCGAACCATATATGTACATGTACATATTAAACAATAAACGTGTAATGCATGAACCAATGATGTATTACAATGTATACTAACGTCATAAGTGTCATCCATTCTTGAATAATAATAAACTCAAAAAATTAAACCATGAGTTTAAAAAGCTTGAGCAACAAACGTATGGTTCTAATAGTTCTGTCTTTCAGCAAAGCCACTGGGAAAACCTGAGAATATCCTGCGCATAATTATTTCACAAACCATGACGTTATCATTATAAGTATAACTATATGGAGTGAGTAGCAAATCTGTAAAGGTGCAATCACCTGATGGTAGACTCTGCTGGTGGATTTCTTAGTCCCCGAGGTGTAACCGTAATAGCCACAGTAATAATTATAATAATTCGGGGTTCGTATATACCGCTTTATCACAACCTAGATTGTAGGTCGTCTCAAAGCGGTTCACAAATTATTATCCGTGGTTATAGATAGGGCCTTTGCAACTAGCCAATATCTGTCTCAACTCCTTGGGGAGCATACAGCCGGTGTTGCCATTTCGGCGCTCACAGCTAGCTTTCTGCAATTCTAGCACTGCCCAACCAAGTACTCATTTACAGATGAGTAGACTGGAACAAGCGGAGTAAAGTATATAGCTCAAAGCTACAACACAGTGCCGTGACTCGAACCCGCAACCCTGCGGTCAAGAGCCCCGCGTCCTACCACTGGACTACCGGTTCTCCATAAACACAGTTAGATTTTTTGAGTGGTGGCACAGTTCATAATTTACACACTTTACTAATATTGTAAATTGATATTAACCCGTAAATAATATATTTGTGGGATTTATGCACATTCCATGTCTTTTCCGCAGTAGCATGGAATATTATGGATTTCCAACTTGTTCCAAGGGACGTAACAACTATATGACATGGTGTAACTCATCTTTTAGAAGTGCAATTACCCATGGGTGTAACGCTAATCATTGCAAACATAGGTGCTCTGAAGTAAACCAAATATTCAATATATATTCAAGATATCGGTATTTTAGTTTGAAATTCGTGTTGTAACACTGCATAACAAAACCTTGTTACCGCGCAATCAATAATATGAGTATTCGTTCCTGTAGAAATACTGCTGTTCTTGTCGATTTTGTTATATCACAAGTATTAAAATTGAATAAACGTTATATTATAAACAGTTGTCTTTGTGCGGACGAGTCCTGTCAGAGCTGTTGTCTTGTGATAATTTGTGTGACATGGTCCGGCTCCGATACAACTGGCAACTGGTCGGAAATTCGTCATGTCCACTTAATAAGAATCAGACCAGTGGAACCATGGCGGCTACATCCCTTTTTATCACAGAGCTGAAATTGCTGCAACTTTATCATTTCGTTTCCCTTTTCACAACGTTATCTGATATCACTATAATCGTCAGCGTGCATTCACATCTGTCGCTTCCGGTTGTCGAAGAGTGACTATACTGGGTCGATTGGTGAACAACTGCTTCATCGATGGATTGTGCACGAGGAACAAAAGTACGAACAATTCAAAAGACAGTTTATCTAAAACTTATCGACCGGCCCCAAATGAAACGTCGCCTACATCATAACAGAATGTATTTCGCAATTCCTCGTGTAGTTTTAGATGTTTGGTCATAATCACCCAATATCGATGAGTAATCAATGTCTAAACATCGTGGGTAACCTCGGGTGATTCGGATTGTATCATGCTTGAGTCACTTGATGTAGCATACTGTACACACTATCCGAATAGAAGTTATGTTTACACTTACAGACATTGTGGAAAATAAACATGTCTGTGTCATGCTCGGGGGGCACCAGCTTGCAGAAGGATTTCTATCGAAACGTTCGTACGTTAACCTCTCAGTATACTCCTAAACCGTTTCTGTCCACATGTTATTAAAGTTTGATTTGTTATTTTCAATATGTTTGAGTCGTGCAGTGAACATGCTCGATATCTGTTGTAATTATGGCGCATTTTTAGTATCTGGACTCGTTATCAGAGACCATTATCCTGCTTTAGTATGGATGCGTCTTGTAGCTTGTTTGGAACATTTGGTATTGTAACAATCAAATGAACATGCCATTTGGTCTAAATTCTCTCTGAATTTTTTGTATCTGAAATTGGCAGAGAAAGTAAGTACGCCTGAGCATGAGTACGGATTTGTTAATTCTGACCCTGCTATATGCTTTGTCAAGTATGACAGTTCTTTAAAGCTTGTATATTGTATGTAAGAGTATGTCTTTTACCAATATACTGCAGATAGTTATAGCATCTTCAAATGTGTCAAGGTGACAGACGAAATACTTTCCCTTGTTGTTTTTCGAAGAATTGAATGAAAATGTGAGTAATTTGTTGGCGTGTCAGCGATTGCTATCGAAATACATCTCACGATACATTTTAATGAGAATAGAATCTAGTAGCAGGAAGGTATCGAAGCCCTTTCACGCTATCACACAGTTAATGAATGTTTGTATCGCTTTAGCGACAGAAATTGGTACAAAATAGAAACACACTTTTACAGTGGTATACATAACAAAGGTCTTCAGTTATTACACTTATCATGCATGCTGTTGTGTTAGTCATATGTGTTGACTTTTGAAGTGCAAACAAAGGTGCTACACTGTTCAGGAATGTATTTAAAGCTAAAGGATTTGTATTCGACACAATGATTGAGCTTGAGTAAATGGTATTACTGACTAGATATTTGAAAACAGTATGACTCTTTAACTTCATGTTATTGACAACTATCAAAATTAGAACACAATAGCATCTGTTCCTAGCAGGTCAAATGATATAATCTGTATCTACAGTTAGTTCAGTTTTGAATTAAGCATACTATGTGTTGGTTGTGTCGCCCACGAAATGAAGTCAAGCGAAAAACCCGAAAGTAAAGACCGGTATTCGTCAATCTTGATTTCGACTTGAACAAATCCATTTCGAGCGCAACGAAGTTCAACGAATCAAACCATTACATGTAACGATAAAACAGCAGCGTGGGGTCGTCGTGCTGTTTGAGGTTAGTTAAGACAGAAAAACATTTGTAAATACAGATAGGATAATAGACCTATTACAGGTGGAGGGAGGCAAAAGTCCGTCACCTATTATCCTTCTGAGAATCGGAGAAGTCAAACGGAAGGGACACGAAAGCGATCGGCGTCGGAACGCTGTGAACTGTGAACTACAGGACCGCTAACTTATACATCATTCATCAATGATACAGTACACGATATCCAGACCTGTTCCTTGAAGTCGGGTGACTGCTGCTGTTGCTGACAAAGTTAGAATAAAAACAAATACGTTAGTCGCTAATACAACTTTTTATGCGATTGTAATTTGATAACATAGTTCCTCAGTGATAAGGGGTCGCACTTTCTTACCCACACATGTCTCAGATGTAACATACAACCTATACATCGGAGAGGCATCATGCCTGACACATTCGTGGTGACCATAAACAAAAACAAATCCTATTCAATGTTCGTAACGAAGATCTACTAGGCCAGAAATATATGGCACTCCTGGGACGTAGTCAGTCTATCTATGATAAAGAGTGAAGCCTCGTCATCGATTACAGAATACAGTACTATTACGTATTAACTACAACGAAACACAGGCAACACAATTGCATGTGTTGGGTGGAGGATCAGAATCAGGATATGATCACAACCAATGGATGATAAAACAATATATAATCAAAGCGTCGATGCCGAGGAACATTATCAGGACTCAAGGTCGATAAAGGACAACGGAAACTAAGGAGGCTCAAAAAAAGAAAGACAACGGAAACCAAGGTGACAATATAAATAAAACGAAAGACAACGGGAACCAAGGAGACAACAAACAAAACGAAAGACAACGGTAATCAAGGACACAACAAACAAAACGAAAGACAACGAAAACCAAGGAGACAACAAACAAAACAAAAGACAACGGGAACCAAGGACACAACAAACAAAACGAAAGACAACGGGAACCAAGGAGACACCAAGACAAAACGAAAAACAACGGGAACCAATGAGACGCCAAGAAAAAAGGATAGACAACGGGAACCAAGGAGACAACAAACAAAACGAAATACAACGGGAACCAAGGAAACAACAAACAAAACAAAAGACAACGGGAACCAAGGAGACAACAAACAAAACGAAACACAACGGGAACCAAGGGGACACCAAGACAAAAGGAAAGACAACGGGAACCAAGGAGACAACAAACAAAACGAAAGACAACGGGAACCAAGGAGACAACAAACAAAACGAAAAACAACGGGAACCAAAAAGAAAACAAACAAAACGAAAGACAATGGGAACCAAGGAGACACCAAGACAAAAGAAAAGACAACGGGAACCAAGAAGACACCAAGACAAAAGGAAAGACAACGGGAACCAATGAGACAACAAACAAAACGAAAGACAACGGGAACCAAGGAGACAACAAACAAAACGAAAGACAACGGGAACCAAGGAGACACCAAGACAAAACAAAAACAACGGGAACCAAGGAGACACCAAGACAAACGGAAAGACAACGAGAACCTAGGAGACACCAAGACAAAAGGAAAGACAACCGAAACGAAGGAGACAACAAACAAAACAAAAGACAACGGGAACGAAGGAGACACCATGACAAAAGGAAAGACAAAAGGAACCAAGGAGACACCAAGATAAAAGGAAAGGCAACGGGAACCAAGGAGACACCAAGACAAAAGGAAAGACAACATGAACCAATGAGACACAAAACAAAAAGAAAGAAAATGGGAACCGAGGAGACACAAAACAAAAGACAATGGGAACCAAGGAAACACAAAACAAAAGACAACGGGAACCAAGGAGACACCAGGACAAAAGGAAAGACAACGGGAACCAAGGAGACACAAAACAAAAAGAAAGACAATGGGAACCAAGGAGTCACAAAACAAAAGACAATGGGAACCAAGGAGACACAAAACAAAAGACAACGGAAACCAAGGAGACACAAAACAAAAGACAATGGGAACCAAAGAGACACAAAAAAACCAAAAGACATTGGGAACCAAGTAGACACAAAACAAAACGAAAAACAACGGGAACCAAGGAGACAACAAACAAATGAACACATGACAAAACAGAAGCAAAAGGGATTACACTGTTAACCAAAGAAAAACCAAAAATGCGAGAACCAGGTGTTCCGGGAGGGAGTGCATTTACCGATCTGAGACACAATTGACCGTTTTTAAATTATTGTGAACAAAAATATTATATAGTCAGCATTCGGGTATTGATGATCATTGAAACCTTTCGTCAGCGTAGGTTGACGTGTTGGTATTGTTTAGCAATTCAACGATATCAACTTGACTTATTTGTGCAAATTTTCACAAAATATAAAACCATAAAAGACATTACCTTGCCTTCCGTCTCTGCGTATTGCAGAGTTATCTTCTCTTGTGAGCAGGTATTGATTGTTACGTCATTGGTTTGTGAGAGTACCATCATTAATTTTTGAGGAAACAACACAATTTTCTCACACAAACCAATGACGTAACAATCAATCCCTGCTCACAAGAGAAGATAACTCTGCAATACGAAAAGACGGAATACGCCTCCTCTTAAAATTGGAATCCCATAAACGATTTTTTTCATTATTAATAGGGAAAATCTTGTTTTATAATTGCTCTTGAAGAGTTAAATTGTAAATGTTACCCCCGGGCTAAATAAAACCAGGATCCCACCCCCAACCGCAAAAACAAATCAAAAACTAAAACAAAAAACAAATAACCACTATCCTTATCTTCTAGAACTTCTTTAGACACAGGAAACTCCACATGCCAACTCACATATCAACATCAAATAAAAAGAACGTAAAATCTTTATTTGATTGGCTTGTTATTTTGTATTTTTTTGTTTATTTTTTGTTTATTGCATCACTAATATATTGCAAAATATTTGTCTGGCAATTTACAATGTAATTTTTTTAATATAATTTTGAAATGTCGATATATTGTAATATTTGCTCACCTTCCTATACAGTAATACGATGATTTTACAGAATGGTGTGATGAATTCCAGAACTCTTTATATATATCTTTCAGTAAAGTGTGATATTTTGCAATATTACGTAAATGATTCCATATATTACATTATGAAATTTCATTTGGAATATCTACCCCCGACGGATAATAAGCAACAAACTCAACTCAATAAGAAACATGTTCAATGCTAGCCAGGGAATTGAAGACATGTGACCCAATGTTGTGGTTTGATAGTGTGTCATCACGTGTACAATATGCTATTCAAGTTATTGCTAGGCACGTGGTGTATTATATCATGTAAAACATCTAAGCTTTATAACGACCGGTTTATTTGTGATGGTGTTACACTGTACGTTAGGGACACTTTACAAACGCATCTCTCTAACATGTCATATGACTTACGAGATGTGAGCATGTGCAAAGGCTGATGTATCGCCTTCTTCAGTATTTCTGAAAACAGTCTATGATGGGATGTCAACTAGTCCACGGATGAAAGACCAGGGAGGATAATACATATTATGAATATTGAAAACAGGATAATGTTGGTCCGTTCACTGTCTCCAAATTAAATAGTGTATCATGTCTCAGAAACCCCTTTATTGTTTAGGGACTAACATGTACGTGCAATTTGATTCAGTCGTTTTGAATGCCTACTTATTTTGTGTGTTTGAATGCATGTAGCTTGTACCGTTTGTTCTTGATTTATGAAGGCACTGTACATACCGTCTGCATTATCCTGCATTAACTATGAAAATATTATTTCTGTGGAAAACCTCAAAGTAAACAAAAATTAATGTAAGATAGGAAATCCATTGTTTATGTATAAGTCCATTGTTTGTTTATCTCAAATTAAAGGAAAATGATGTTACGTAACGAATATGCACAATGCAAAAAGAAAATTCAGATATATTCAAAACCCTTTTTAACGACCAGAAAAGACAAATATTGTTCGTGAGTCAAGGTTTCTGAAATAGGAGTTCATTTTCAGACACGTCAAATATTGTGCCGACCCTGGAATGTCGCCTGGCGGAAGCTGTAGTCTGTGTGGCAAGTATACCGGAAGTAAATCTCGCGTGCTCGTTGACGTCACAGCAGGATATCTGCCAAACCATACATAAAGTTAGCTCCGGGGTTGGAAGCACATGGGGTTTGTATTTCCATTCAAGCAATCAAAAACACGTATTTTATCTTTGAACGAAGACATCGTATACAGTGTCATGTTCGTCTTGGCGTCCGTGTTTACTTGCTCACAAGTTGCCTATAATATATCTTCTGTTCGATTCCCAATACGCCAGTCAGCGTTACAATTGACGATGATAGTCTACACTATAGGATAGGCCTGCTATAAGTAGAACTATTATTGCCGATTGTTGAAAATCTACTTGAACGAAAAAGATATGCATGGGGTTTATGTTTTTCTTTTTCTGTTCTAGTAGACATTTCTGCAAGTACTTAAAAGACTCAATGATATATAATAAAATATCTCATAAATGCTGTTTCCATTAAACTGAGAATATCGGATTTGCACAGGTATATATCCTAGCTATCTGACGCTGTAAACTGTCATAGTACTAATATTGCTTGCAATCTGCATATTGCTTGAAAGAAAGAAACATAAGGTTAACCGACTTGTTTGAACTGGTTGATGAATATTTGGTATACCGGAACACTTCCCTCCAGTAAATATTTGGTATACCGGAACACTTCCGCCCAGTAAATATTTGGTATACCGGAACACTTCCGCCCAGTAAATATTTGGTATACCGGAACACTTCCGCCCAGTAAATATTTGGTATACCGGAACACTTCCGCCCAGTAAATATTTGGTATACCGGAACACTTCCGCCCAGTAAATATTTGGTATACCGGAACACTTCCGCCCAGTAAATATTTGGTATACCGGAACACTTCCGCCCAATAATTATTTGGTATACCGTAGCATTTCCGCCCTGTAAATATTTGGTATACAGGAACACTTCCGCCCAGTAAATATTTGGTATACCGAAACACTTCCGCCCAGTAAATATTTGGTATACCGGAACACTTCCGCCCAGTAAATATTTGGTATACCGGAACACTTCCGCCCAGTAATTATTTGGTACGTTCTTCATTGTTTATGCCCAGTCAAATGTACGTCCTTCACTGGTATAATCCAATGTCGTCCTGTCTTTAGCTAGCCAGTAAAATGTAACAACTATGTACGGTATGCTGTTAACTTAAATTCGCTTTTATGATAAATTCGCCCTCATTGATGAAGGAAGAAATAGGCAAAAATTTGACAACGACGAGAATTTCCCGGTATGCAGTAAATAAGATAGCTAAGGGAATATATGATTTCTATATTTAGTAAGGAAAAGGGACACTTCAGCGTATCTAAACCGGATAAGGCCGTCTTAATTTGACAATTGCACTATGACTTCCTTTGCTTGAAATAACGTTATAGACCAAACTTTAGGGATAGGGTTAACGTTTATTAGTAGGAGCTGACCAGTGATACAAGGTGTGATAGATGGCAGAATGTCGTCAGAGGTAACAGAGTGCGTGACTAATGACCTCATCAATCATGGCTGCTCAATCGTTTCCTGACGCCATTCTCAACATTTCTGATTCTCTGTGACTAAGACCTCCTTAATCATAATAAGACTCATCTAATCACAAATTCTGGTGAGACTAGGCCTCCCTCCCGTACGGCTCTAGCGCCGTCTCCACCGCTCATGAATGCAGTGCCAGTACAACAAACATCAACTACACTAAGTAATAGAGCCAGACATTCTCGATTCTTCACCTTTGTTTCTTTTCGAAACCGCCTTTTTGTATTTTGCTGTAACCTCATACCAATACATCAATGATAATGTCGAATGGTAGTCACATGTGACGTTATCAATAAGTTGTTGTCGCCTTTTTACGATATTTCTTCATTTTGCTTTGTTGCGAGCAAAGAAAGAAGCGAAATAACGAGAGGAGGAAATCCCGACAAGGAGTAACAACGCCAAAACTGTACGAGTATATGAAAACTTGTCAACCTGAAAAGGTAAAAAGGTTTGATCCATCATAGATAATTATCAGTTATGCATTCTCTGGTAAAAAATAAGCTATTATTATGAAATGCATTAAGTAGTGTGATAGTGGTGTGTCCTAGGTCAGCACTGGCCGGACATTTCTTTAGCATAGTTCTTAAGCATGGTAACAAGTAGTGGATGATACATATATGTGTTGAAATGTGACACGTTACTAATTATTATATATTTACTCTTCACTTTAGATAAAGACATCAGGTTTACAGAGAGCATTTTACAACTAATGAAAGCTGGACAAACCCGATAAATAATTGCCACGAGTTTTTTGTGTGCCTTTTCCTTCCATAAAAGCCGTTTGGTTACCAAAATGTCACGAATTGATAAAAAATAACGTCGCAAAACGCTGTTACTTGACATCATTATTAGAATATTGACCAATGAAATAGTGTCCAGGCCATGTCTACTCAAGGTTGACTATGCAATTAAGAAGTAAGGGATTTCAAAGCAACATAAATTCTCAAAACACACAAGGCTTCTCTATCTCGACAAATCTTCAGCGGTAAAATGATATCGGGTGCTCTTCATTTCGTTGTATTAATATTTTAAATTGTCCCTTACCACTGGATAACTAACAAACGTTTGA